TTTTTTTTTTGTGTCTGTTACCACTTTTTCTCAGCTCTCATCGAACCGATTTCTTTCAACGATACGTCAAAAGATCACAAATCGTATCTAGTCGAAGACATTACCCTTAAAAATTGAAAAATTTTCCCTCGTTCCCCGCAAATGGGGGAAATCTCCAAAAAAATTACAATTTTTAAAATCGGAAAATTTTGTTATTTTTTTCACTTTTTTTGCTTAAAACTTCCATAACTTATTTTATGTAAAGCGGATTTTCTATTGCTGTATCCCCAATACATACATATTTAACCATTTTTATCTCAATCCACACAGAGATATTGAAAAAATTTTCTTCATTACCCGTAAATGGGGGAAACCTCCAAAAAAATTACAAATTTAAAAATCGCTAATTTTCGAAATTTTTTCAATTTTTTTTACTTAAAACAGCCATAACTTTTTGAAAAACGACCGAATCAATATAATTTTTTTTATAAATTCAGGATATTTTTACCTATCATTTGGTACATTTTTTTATAAATCTGACCCTTTACCTGCCCATAGGGGGGGATTTAAAATGACAACTTTTTCACAAAAAATTAACTTTTCAAACTTGACTTTTGAAAGTATTCCAGAAAGTCTGACACTTTTATATATATATTAAATTAAAGCTAATGTAATGTACATCATTATGAAAAAAAAAAATTTCGGACTTTATTTTGTCTTCATGATGAAAATGGCTACCGAATGCTATTTTTGTGTGAAAATACTCGATTTAATTTTTACATTTTACATCAATACAATTTTTATGAGAAATAATATTTATATCCCTCTTTTATTCGACATACTTTATCTTAATCAGGATATAAATAAAGAAATAGCAGATCATGTAGCTTTTGGAATAATCAACCAATTTTTTAAAATTAAACACTATCTAAATATTTGCATCGAAGCGTTTTTTATGATAGTGATTTTAATCACTGTCAGATATCATTATACTTGACCCAACTATGCCACGTCACCACTGTGCCGCTACCCCCCTGTGCTGGGTTTTTTTCAAAATTGTTTTTAAATAACAAATTAAATTAATTTACTGATTTTATCGAAATATTTTGAGCCATTAATGTATTAAATAAAAGAAAAACTCCCAGAAAAAAATGTTTTTAATAAAATTATAATAACTTATATCTATTAAAGTTATTTAAATTGAGAGAAATAAAGTTAAAATATCAATTATAATAAATATTTTCATATATTTTTTAAAAAATATTAAAGAAATCATTTTTTTTATATCGTTATGAAAACTAAATTTGTTTAATTTAATTAAAACTAAGATTAAATCTATCTATGTAATTACTATTTATAACTAATAAAACATTTTTTTACCATAACAGTTTTTAGAGGGCAATCCTAAAAAACGCAAAAAAATTAGACCTCAATGTTCAATGATACTCTGTTATGGAAAGATAATTTTTTTTATGAATATTAAAATTTACGAGCTATATATAAACAAGGTTTTTTTTGCTACTGATTATAAATTTTTCGTGAAAAGTAAACATATCAATTTTTTTAAGATAATATAAATCTGACCGTAAACTTTATTGAAGGAAATCAACCAATTGTAACAAAATCATCAAACTAGAATGTTTTAATGATTTCAAGGTCAAACGTTTTATTATTGGACTTGATAAAACCCCGTTGAATTAAATATTTCACAGGAAACTGTACTAATACCAATAGTCAAAAAACAGGATAATCTCTTTAAAGTTATATACAATTTTTCTATTTTAAAAAAGACTTCAATCCAATTTAGCATTTTCATAATTTACCAACCATCGTATACGATAAGCTACAATAGTAGTTTATATAGACAGATAGTGTAATAACTTTTAAATACGACAACAAGGTCAGAAATGAATTCAAATTGTACTGAATTAACAATAGAAATGAAATAATGAGTAAGAATAAAAAAATACCGGAATGTCATACAACGTATGCATTTTAAGTACTTACACAAATTCGAATTCAATCATCACTTAAAAGTGTGCTTTGATCCACGTGATAATACAAGTATAAACTAACTGTATTGAAGAGATTTGTCGATCATCAAGGTCTTTAAAGTCAAAATTACAAGTTCAAGCAACACTTGAGCCCCTTGATATTATAATATTCTATATTATTACATTATGTAACAATAAGATTTTGGACTCTACTGTGAACTGTATTACGTCAGATGTACCATCTAGTCATGTCGATAGCCCTTGGGTACAATAGAGTGCATCGACGTTACGATCATAGAAATCCTCACGTGTTCGATGAACCGGTTTAAAACAATAATATACAATATAAACATAAAGTAATTACCTAAGATTATAAACTGTACCTTCGAAAATAAATTTAAGAAATTAATAAATAACCCATTCAATATTTGAGTCATGTATAATAGTGTCATTTGTAATGATCTCAGAAATTTCCCCCAATTCAACAATTTTGTTAATAAACATTGTACCTTAACTAGATATATGAATTTATTAATTCTTACATTTTGAGTTTTTCTTTAACTTATATAATAAAATTATACTTTACTGAACTTTATTTATATTACTGTCATAGCTTTTACACTTTCTAACTTATCATTCAAATGAAAAGTATTTAAAATAACGCTCGTTATTTTGTATTATCAACTTTTTTATCGCTTATAAAATAATCACAATTAACATTTATCTACGGCTGTACTTTAGATAATTATATTTATTTTTTACTTACTAAACCTTATAAATTGCAAATTAAAAATGTATAGTGATCGTTTTAACATAAAATAGATATTACTCACTACTATTTTTTAATATATCATAAGGCTTACGATAAACATCTCAAAGAGTTATTCATTTGAAAAGTTAAAAATATCTTCAATGCATTCTAAACAAATCATGTTTAAATTGTTTTCATGCTATATTTTGGTGATCATTCATACATGTTATTGCCCAGACTTCTTACACGCGCAAATATTATAATATTGTCTATTAGAGTTAGAAAAACAAAACTGGTCTGCGGTTGTGCTAATTTCCGCAACTAATAATTGACCAACCACACGTGTGAATATTTTTTTTTGTATTGTTTTACATAATATTATTAATTTCGATTCACTACTAAACTACATATTATATAGAATGATACAGCTAACGCAGCTTTTATAGTGTATAATTTATAAGTAGATATATATATGCCTATTACGTGTCTATTATACAGGTTTTGAAGCGGAAATGTGTTTCATGCTAGAGAGTTTGCCGTTATATGTATAAAAAGGGTGGTCAAATAATGTATTGTAGAAAAGATAAAACATAACGATGAGTACACAATAATCATTAATGTCATTAATGACATAAATAGGTTCTGCTTACACCGCCTACAACTGTTCAATGCTGTTATGTGGTATTTATACGAATTGGGACAGTAAATACGGTACTTTACTTGACAAAAGCAATGGTATTTGAGAGAATTAATCTCAAAAATGTATGCAAGTATGACAACTAAAAATACGGTTACAACAGCTTAACATTTTCAAAAAATTTTAAAATTTATGAAAATATCTTAGTGTTTATTAATTTTATAGTGAATAAAATATATTAATGGTTTTTCAAGTTAGATATTTTCTGTTTAAATTATAAATAGCTTAAATTATAGTGTCTTTAAAAAATCATTTTTTTAAAACGTACGTAAAATGTTCAAATTAATTACAGCAAAGATAAAAACAGAAGTGATTTTGATTATTCAAAACTTTTTAGTTATTTGACCTATATCGAATTTTTTTTTTTCAACAATTTGTGAGGTTCACACTAGTTACTATTTTATAATTATTATAGAAACGATTTTCATTGAGTCAATAATGTACATTTTTAGTTTTTTTTAAGAAACATTGATCTTATAATATAAAAGTTAACATAATTATTTAACTTCCGTTTCAAACTATTATCAATACAGCAAGGTAACGTCATCATCAATCATAAGTGAAAGAGTTCAATATTTATAAACTAATTTCAGTTTTCATAAATCTTAAGGTCGATGAATAAGAAGCATAAAGGAAGTTGATGGTGCAAATGCATATAAATAAACCACGATTGTTTCCTGAATTATCTAATATCAATATAAACTTAATCAAACGTATTAATAAAAATTTCACAATTCATTGTTTTTATATTTACAACCTATATTTTTAACACTATAGGTCTCTAATATGAAGCTTTTAAAAACCTAATAAGAATTTAAGTATCAGGTAGGTACTTAACCTAGATTATTAAAAAATAATCACATATTGTAGAGAAAATACTAAGAAACACTAGTGATAATTTTTATTATGATTGTAAATGATATCATTCATTTAACGGTTATTACAGTTTACGTACACCACGCAAAAGTTGTGTTTGTTGTTTGATTTAGCATCTGTTATAATCACTTGTACGACATTTATTAATTATGATAATTGACGTTCCAGTAAAATATCTATTAACGATAATAACAATTCAGAATATTAATTCATGTGATTGTGTCGTGAAGTTGAATGTTAATCTCGTATCTACTTATTTCTTAAAGTGAACACACTAATTTTGGGCTTAAAAACAGGATAATTTTGCAGTAAAGATTTAAAAAAAAAAATAGTATTAAATTTTATTCTATGATGTTCACGGAAATTGAGTT